AACGACATCTGTGACTGTTTTCACAGCTTCGACGACTGGCACATCTTTTACCATCTCTTCTGTAATCTGTGCGAGAGACGAGAAGAGTTCTCAGTCTGCCCTAGTAAGTATAAAACGCGGAGATCTTGATATGGGATTTACTCCATCTCGTATTATTGATACCAAAATGGGAAAATGATCACTATCATGAAGGTAATTTCCGGCACTAAATGTACAAAAAGGGCAGGAGAGATGATGAAGAGATAGCCAGATCTAGAGCGTGAAATGTCCTTGTAGGCTCGTGGAAGTAGGTGTTCTGTCCGTTATTGAGGAGACAAAGGCAATGGTCTTCAATCAGTTGCTGAATTTCTCTGCCTCGGGGGTTTCTATCTCTACTTCCTCAGAGTAGACTATGCCCATTTAATAAAACGAGCTATGAGTAGCTATGATGATAAAGGGTTTAGGCAGCTGTTCTATTAGGTCATCTAATTCTCTTTAGCGATATGATGATTTGGGGGCAAATAAACAGAACAGACTGAAAGTAAGCTCCATATATTTACTGGGACGGCAACAGCTTGGAAGCCTGTGCTTAAAGATATTAGTCTAGAGCGATAGTCAAGTGAAGTTAGGAGGCCGACACCCCCGCTCACATGCTCACCTGCAAGATTATCTTCCTCGTGTAACAGTACCTCCGAAGCTTAGCTTGTTGAACGGGTTTTAGTAAAGTCTCTTGAACTGCCAAGCACACAGGATGATGTAAATCTATCAAATTGTTAATATTTTCCACATTTTGGTTAAATCCGCGACAATTCCATGAAATGAGGTTGGCAATTATGCTTAATGTTTGTTTGCTCGGTTCTGTTTTTTAGATTTTCGTGGAAGCAGGTGTTTTGGGACATCTAGCTTCCTTCCACATCCATCTCAGAATCTATGCTGTCTGAGCCGATGCTCGCGAAGGAGCTCAAGCTGGGGTCTCTGAGAGGTTTTAAAGTTTTCTTTGTTCCGTTATTATTTTCAATTTGGTTATCCTTTGTTTCTTTGTTCTGTTGAGCTTTAATTGTTGACGTTACTGATTTCTGTGAGTTGATTTTTTTGTATATTCTCGATTGGCTGTTTATTTGGCAAGCCTGTTGCTGTTTGCGTGCTTACTGATTTAAAAATTTTAATGCACCGGCATAGGACAAATATTTTTGGGGCTGCGTATCTGTTACTAACTTTCTTGCTTCTGCATAAGATATTTTTTTCGTTACTTTTATTGTCTGCACCTCTTTTTCTGACTTCCACAACGGAAATTGTCGTGAGAATGCTGTGTGGTGTCATTTGCAACTTGCGTATATTGGCTCAGCATTGGAATTTTCGCTGCCATGGTCTTTCACAGAGCAGTATGCAGATGTTATTTTCCCATAACAGGACATTTTCGAATGGCCAAAGCGCTGGCACTGGAAACATTGCAAAGGTTTCGGTATGTAAGGTCTTACGGGGTAGTGTAAGTACCCGGCCTTAATACTTTTTGGCAGATCAGGCGACTTGAAGGTCAAAATTATATGCTTTGTATTAATCAACTGACCTTCTTTTCGCATCTTGATCCGTCTGGCAGCACATTCATTCTGGTCAGACAACTCAGAGGCAATTTCCTCTTCTGAAACGTAGAGGAGGTCGATCTCTGAAATAAAACCTCGAAAAAAATTGAATGTTTTATGTGCTGACACTTTAATATCGATTTGTCCGAGTTTATTCAATCCAAGGAATGTTGCAGACTGAGTAGCTAATCAAGTTTCAACAAGAAGACCTCCAGAGCGCAACCGTTTAATATTCTTCTGTTCCCCCAACTGACAGCTTTTTGAGATTGTCTGATATATCATTTATGACAAGAAATTGCGGTGGACTTGCTGGATTTTTATCTGGATTTGCATTTACATATGTTTTTACGCGTTTTGATGCATAATTATACTAATTTGTATTTATTAAATTTGTTTGAGCCATATTGAATGAAAAATTAAAATTCGGACCCGACAGTCCCGCCCACCAAGGAGCCCAACAAGGGGACGCAGAAACCTGCGCTAGGGTTAACCGGGTCTATACGCAATCTGAAGCCGTACAGTCAGCTTTCTGGAAAGCAGGAAATCCCGAAAGCTTATCCCCAAGCCACTGACCCTAAGGACGAGTGACCAGCCGATTGACACTAGTGGGGCAACTAAGTGCCTCCCTTTTCAGTCTGAAACAGAGGCCAAAGCAATGTGTTGGGAACAGTACCTTGCCCCTCAACTACCAGAACCTCCTTTCCAGCCTTACGGGTAACAACGCACGGCAAACGCGTAGGCGGTTTTCTCTCTGTGAGAAACTAGAAACAAAGAGATGTATTAGAATCTCACTTTGAGCCCAAACCTCCGAAAAGGAAAACCACATGAGCAGAAGAAAAAAATTAGCACAGATAAGGAGAGATGAAAAAGAAAGGAGAAAAGATCACTAGGACTCCAGGATGGTGACCCCCCGTCTCTCCAAGAAGATGATCCCCTGAAGGACTAGGGTACCTCGAGATTGCTACACCCGTACTGACAAAGTGAGCCCTTGAAGGGTGCTTGAAAAAGGAGCTAAGGTATCCTACTTTCGATCAAGAGAAAGCGCGTTTGTGCAGTGGTTTCGAAGTGACGATGTATTTGTATATTGCTGTTAACGTATATGGTTTAATTGAAGTATTGGGAATGTCAGTTTATAACGCAACTCAATGGCGATTGTTTGCCGATAGCTCAAAGCGGAAGTGCTTTCTCCTTCACAATGGACATTTATTTAGTGCAGTCCTAATAGGCCATTTAGTTTGTTTGTGTAAAGAATATGAAGAGTAATAAATTTGGTGCAATATCACATGCACCAATGGATCATCTGTGTTGAGCTTGAAGTGGTCTGCTTTCTTCTTGGCCAGCAATGTGGATATACCAAGTATCCCTGTTTTTTGTGGGAGAAACAGCAGAGTGAGAAACATTGGATACAGTCGATTCGGCCGCCAAGATCTGATCTGAAAACTAATGATCCAAACATTTTACATCAGCCATTTGTAGACAGAAAGAACATTATATTTCCGCCTCTGCATATAAAACTTGGTCTCATGAAGTAATTTGTTAAAACTTTATCAGGTGAAGGAGACTTTTTCTTCACATTGATGAGAAATGAGATCTCATTTCGGCATTTCCTAACCTGTTATTTGAAAGATAAAGTACAGTGTGTTCAATTTTCTGGGAATGCATGAGCAAAGAACTACAGCGAAAATGTCCAGCTATTGTCGGAGGGCTTCAAAACGCTTTGTTCCAGCATAAGCATCAAATCTCATTTTTTCACAGCCATCTTAATAACCTCCCGAAAAATCTTGGTGCAGTCAGTGATGAGAAGGATGAGTAATTCACCAAGATTTGAAGTTCATTGGATGTAAGGTACCAAGGTAGATGAGATGTACATACGATGGATTACTATTATTGGAGCATCAAGCGAGAATGTCCGCAGATTAAAAGTCTGAATAAAGCCATAAGCAAATATTTTACCTTACTATGTATGTTTACGGTTTGGAAAAAAAAAACCACTTCGACTCTTTATATGAACAAAGTTTAACTTTTAGGCACTACATATAGCCTTTGTATGAATAAAAATATTCTTTGTGAACAGTATATTCGCTGTTTTCTTTATTTTCCTTTGCATGCATATTTTATTTGACTTTTGAGACAAAGAGAGAGTATCCTGTAGCTTAAAAAGTAGCATGATAGACAAAAACTGAGATTATTTTAGAATCCACAGGACAAAAATTAATCAAAAACAAATCACAGATTTAAGACAACGAAACTGCTGTTCTCCATTGTAATTAAACTCAGGATTAGAAAATTAAGCATGGGATATCATGACGACTGATATTTAATCAGCCGCGTTGTTTCTGAAACAAGGAAATACTTCGTTAGTTCGCATACACTATAAAAGCATCAAGCCTTTTTTTTTTTTTTTTTTTTTTTTTTTTTTTTTTTTTTTTGTTTGTTTGTTTGTTTACCAGATGGAATTCAACATATATACAACATTCTGATATGACGCGCATTTTCTTAGCATGGCAAGAACCGTCTGTTAATTATCACTAACAGTGAAAGTGGAACAGTGCAAGAACAGTATTAAATAGCTATCTATGACTATAGCTTCATTATTACAACATATCGGTACCACAATGTTATCATTCAAATCGAATACTACATTGTAGCCGTAGCAGCTAGATACAGATTGTCATCCGGAGTGCTACAGCTCAAAACAGAATAGAGAAACAACAAAAAGGCAATCCGACTTTCCATGTCACACGAACTCCCGTAATTGTAACTCAAGCGAACTTTTGCGATATATGCTATAATAGTGTGTGATCTTGCTGCTTAGTAATTTGCAGCTGATGAAACTCCTGATGCAAAAATTACTCGAGTTAGGTATCAAGATTTGGAACTTAGTGTGCGGATGCCTTCTAGGTAACTATTTGCATACTATCGATTAAACAGTAATTAAGGTACTTACCGGACTGCTTTGCTAGCTGCTTTTTATGTATGCATTGCTCGTTATTTTGAAATATTTTCTGCTAAATGATATAATTTTACTAATTCTAGAATAATTTTTGAATAATCCTAAAAAGAAGGACTAAGTTAACTTTAGATGCTTGAGAAATGTTTGAGGCAATGTTTTTCATAAGTATAATATATAACTCACTGCTTAAAAATGCTCAGAAACGTTCCACATGAACTTTAATATGATACAATATAATTAACTTCAATTGATTACTAGCATCCATCAGCAAGGTAATATCATATTTTCTTTTGCCAGATTTGAAATATCTGATATCAAAGATTCCTTACAGAGCAATATATGAAGATGTGTATTACTTTCTTTTGTAGATAAGGCTTGAATGTTTTGCCTTCGATTCAGTTATTTTAGAAGTATTCTTATTTTAACAAGCTATTTAAATCATAAAAAATAACGTAAAGAAAAAATATTTCGAGTGGAAATCAACAAACCTGAGATGTACGAAGAGCGGCTTTTTTTCACCTCTCAGCAACAGTAACAAGTTCCCACTTCTCGAATGGTTCTCAGGCTTCGAATTGATATGCTCCAACTGCATTCTAATACGGTACTCGTAAACTGTAAGAACAAACATCTGATGCAGCTCATCACAATTCTATAAAAGAAAGACTTCTGCTTTTGAAAGTAAAGGTCGTCGCTTAGCATGTTCCCTTATATAGCCAGCCCCCTCGTGTATGATGTATTTGAACAGTAGAACTCTTATTTAGCATTTGAAATTCCTATGTTATATTTTATTTTTTTTAATCTGTTCTGTCTCTCATTGTATCTAATCATGCAGAAATTTACGAAGTTTTACCGAAATCTCAAAATTAAATTTTGCCAAGAAAAGAAAATCCTTTTCTCTTTCTTTGTCAATTGCCAATCCCTCCTCCATTATATTTCATTACTAACATGCACAAAATCTGTTAAATCTTGCACAGAATAGAGATACCTTTATCCATAGCTTTAAGATTTTCATATAAAACTTATAATGTCTTCGGATTCGTGAAGTTACGAATTTATTCTATATGTTTAAATATAATTTTAATATTTTACCATTTAATATAAATTATTGCTCAGTGACTTGCCAATAACTAATTTTAATGGTAGAACTAATACACATTGCATCTAAAACCCGTCTCAGTTCAAAAGCTCAGCTTAAGCTACTCACTTAATTTAAAATAACTACTCAGCCAGTAACCTGTCTTCGGTAATATTTTGCGTCTAACAGCTACTTAAATTGAGCTTAACTTTGAAATAAAATGTAAAGAGGCATCGAATCCTAATTAACAATATGCTACAATTAATTTTGTGCCCACATAAATTAATTAAAAATATGTTAATTAATTTATGTGGACACCAAAAGGTTTAAAATGCGTAAATATAAGTTAAGGATGCTGCGTATATTGTAAAGTCATGCAGACAGACAGAGTAATTATATTTGGAGTACAGCAGTGCTTCCAACTTCATCGGTAATACGTTTTAAGACTTACTGTCGACATGTCTGCGAATAATAAAGAAGGCTATATCTGCGACAAGATATTCGTGTGACATACATAAATTCGCTGAAATTTAATTGAAAAATTATGTACTAGAAGACATTACTAACTTTAAATATTGTAGTAGTAAACCATACTGTACACTATATTAACAGTACATACTGAACAAAAAATAAAGAAAAAATATTGTACTTTCATATATATATATATATATATATATATATGTTGTGTGTGTAATAATAAAATTCCATAGTCAAGAATACACTTGAAATTCTAACCTGTATGTTCTTTTCATTTTAAATGGCGACGTTCTCTTATTTGAAAGTACGTGGAATTAAATCCACAGCCCCGTAGTCAAGTTGTTTTTCCCGCCTTTTCTACACGTACAATTATAGAATGTTCTGAAGATATTTAAAGCGAACTGGATTGGCTGACAAGGCTGACGTCATTTCTTGGAAGCTCCGCCTTTCCAGAGGCTATAAAAAGACTCGCAAAAGGAATATCGGGGCTTTTTCTTAAATGTCATGATGCAGTAAAATTCATACAAAAAGTTATTAGTAATTATTTTTATTTACTCCAGATATCTGATTTTTGTAACTGCTATTTCTCCTGAATAATAATAAATGGATCCTGTTTTTTAAACTTATCGTCTGATTATTTAAGCTACGACTAAAGATGATACATCACATATATATATATATATATATGTAATAATAAAAGCAAAGGAAATGACGGAACACTGTAGATGCGTGATTAGACCCATATTGAAGAAGATTTTGATTGCGTAGTATGCTAGTAATGCTAACTTGGTAACATCTAAAGAACTTGGCAGTCGAGGCAGTTTTAATTCCATTTTTATTTCCAATTGATATTTGTGGCCACAATCACTTGGCACTCTAGTCGTGCCTTTCCACAGAAGATTTACATTTTTGATATTGTTGGGATAGAAAGCAAGCCAGCGAAATTACATCTTAGCACAGTAGAGAGCAAAAGCTGAAGTACGTAGTTATGAAAGATGCAAGCACGCGAAGAGAAAAGTTTCGGTTTACAATTCGGTGATTGGTCGTCAAGAGGCATATGGTATTAACGGTTACGTAAGATCGCATGATTAATTTGAATGACGCAATGCAGATAAGTTATTACGATTTTAGAATAGAGAGGAAGAATTAATATTTATAGTTATATTATAATTCTTATTCATATATTTTTATCTTACATATATATATATATATACATTTACACACACACACACATATATATAGCGCGCACAGGAAAATCCCTTTAACCTGAAAATTCTTGCGAGCCGAGAGGACTACATCTATGCAAGTGAAGTAACGGTATAGCGAAGCGACTGCGCTCAACCTAATGCAAAAGACAGCAGCGCCCTGGTGGCGAAATTTGGAAACTAGGTACTGCAAATAGAAAATGAAAAGGATTAGAGCAAAATTTTCTATTACATCGTTTTAGAGCATAAATTAATTAGTACGCAACGACATTTGGTTCACACGGATTAACAACACCCTCCCACTTTCTCTGCCGACGCTTGCTAGCATAAAGACATCTCTTGTTTAGCTGCTCCTATTAAAAATGTAATGCGTCATCATGAAACTTGTGGGGTGCATATTGGCCCCCCCTCTGTGATAGGCCAAGCCATAGGGAGATCAATATGTAATAAAGAGATATTTGGATTATCAAGTGATTATGTGATTCTTCAAAAGTTCTCCGCATCTTCAACTACGTAACTGATATTTTCAGTGGTATTCTAATCTCAATCCACTCGCGACTGCAAAATAATGTCTTCCTTAGTAAAGCACTCATCTCATATCAAATTACTGCAGGAAATTAAATTATATCATCCCACACACACACACATATATATATATATATATCATTATATATATATATATATATAAGTAGAAAGAAGTAAATTAATAATTGAGAGACCTAGTTGGTCAAAAAACTTAATTTTAACTGTCCTTTTCATTTCAATCTCATATATATATATATATATCATCACATGTATATATATTCAATAGAGCCTCCATGAGGGGCAATTACAGCCTCACTCTCCGCGGCATGCTTTCCACAAGTCTTTGTATGACGGCTATTGGTATTTTCACGTTGCTTCGAGAAGACATGTTCCTTCACGGAAGGTTGTTGTACCCCTTATTTCAACTCTTCCTAAGTACTAGAGGCTCGTCCAGCTCGTACTAAATAAGGTTCAGGTCTGGTCTTTCAGCAGGCCAGTCCATTCGGTTAACCTCATTGTCACCATACCAATCCATAGTGGACCTCGCAACATGGCAGCTGGCGTTGTTGTCATGCAATAACATGGTTACAAACCGCAAAACTGAACGTAGGAAGTAGTGCTGTCATCTATAACAGTTGCAGTAAAAGTCAGCGTTGAGCTTCATGAATTTGGACCAAGGGTTAAAGTCCATTCCAGGAGAAACACTGCTAGACCATATCCCACCTCTGCAAAACTTTACTGTGAGCACAATGCATTCTGGAAGGAGTCGTTCTCCTAGCAGAAGCCAGACCCAGATCCTGCCATCCGAACGAAAGAAGGTGAACCTTGATTCGTCGCTCCAGAGAACACGTTTTCATTGATCAACAGTTACAAACACATTAAAAGAGCAGCGCGGTTGAAATTTTTGTTTGAAGGCTTATGGGCGGCAGCACGACCATGAAAATCAAGTAGATGTGCTTCCTTACCGATCGTATTCATCAAAATAAACTCCCGAATGCTTCTTGAAACTCGAAACTCCTGGAGCAGAAAGGCTATCGGCTGTTTGCGGGTCTTCCGAATTTCTCAGGATAGAACATGTCGGTATCTGTCTCCCGAACCGCCGCTCACTTTCCACTTCAGTCAGCTCTCTATTTATGCCCCTTAAGGATTGGCCATTTCTGACCCAACCATTACTTCTTTCTTGAAATCAGGTAACTCTGGACTTCGTGGCATCTTGTAAGCGACTAATGCCAATGTTGTTTCTTACAAGATGTTTAACGGCTGTGAGTACTACATATATCAGGGTTGTAGATATCGGCATTTGCATGGGTATCTACTCTTTACCTTTCTGTCTAGGAGTTCTGACATTTTACCCTAATCGACAAAATGATGGTCATTTTGCAGTACAGTGCAGTACACTATGCAAACATAATGTCTTCTCTCTCAAGAAATCGATTAAAAAAGTACAATCTTAAGGCAGAAATAATGCTCTGAATCTGAGGAATGACATGTACACTGAAAATGCAGTTAAAGTTCCCAGGGGAATCACTTCCATCCCTTTCTTTTGTTACACTGATTCGGAACAAATGGTAGTAAATGTTAGACTAAAACGGCAGTACTTAGTGTTTTTGAGCTGTTGTATTTTACTGCGTTATGGCCTGTTGACATTCGGCATGTATTCCAAAACTTAAATAGCTTTTTTCATTAGGAAGCTCCTGTTGCTGTTAATCGCGGATCGCAAATGTAGGAAAAATCTTATTTATAAAGCCTTTATGTAAAACACAGTTTTTTTCAATTTAACTAAATTAAAACTTCACTTACCATTGTACGTAGCTCTGTAATTACCAGAGCTTCAATGATTCATCTAAATTATAGCAACTATGAAGGCAATAGCACTAAAATTGTTAGCCGCAAATAGTCATAAATAAATAACTACATAAAACTTCTTGCATCAAAATTATTGGGGATATCATAAATTAAAATTGTTATAAATATTGCAAAACAAATTAGGAAGGTAAATTTTAAGTCAAAGAAATATTAATATATAAGCGTAGGTTTCAAATTACCATTCGTATAAGTATTAAAAGGCAAAGCTTCCTACTCAGCGAAATTAACTTTTTATACAACCCATAAAATCGACATTGACCGACCCTTCGATGTGAGAAAAAGCTATTTAAATCTTATACTGATAATTTGTTTCAAAATAAATTTTGCATGATAAGGAACCGAATATTTTTTCCGTAAATAATTTTCAGTTGGATAAGACACAATATACTAACTAGTTTTTTTTACGGGGCTGTAAAAAAAGTAAATTTTTGCTTATATTTATTGAAAGCTGTCAAGCGATAAAAATTGTCGTTGTCTAAAAGCTTATCTTATAAATTTCTTACTCTGAAGTTACTAGCCGTAATACAAGATATATCATGCAATTAATTTGAAAAACTATATATTATTTCACTTCATAATAATTAAATACAAAACATAATTCCCAGAAATTCTTGGTCAATGCAGGATATAATACCTATGTCGTTCTCAAACTTTTCAGATCTTGAAGGAATTTTTACCCCAGCAATTATACTTACCGCAGAATCTTGGGTAGTGGCCAGCAACTAAATACATGGCAGAAAAGTTCGAATCTTTAAAAGGCTCGTATTGGTCTGCTCGAAAGCCAAATGGGGCACATCTTGAACCATCACCGCCACAATCTCCACATTCTCCTCTTTGGAAAGCTTTGTAGTTTCGGCAATAATATCCAATCATCTTACATGTCCGGTTGCGAATTGTCGATGTGAACAACGCAACTGCATTAAGGCGATCTCCAACAACTAATCAGTAAATGCAGTTATATATATATATATATATAATTCAGTATAACATACATTTATATATACATGTGTACATATATATGTGATAATCATAATGCATAGATTTCAAAAAATTATCTGAAAACAAACAAAAAAGCTCTTAAATGCAACTAATATTTGTAAAGCTAAGCATTCAGATTGTTATCCTACCTCTAAAGCATAGAAATGGTATGTATTCTTACTAAGTTTATTTAACACGTTTTGATCATGTTAAAATCTGTTCTCTACTCCTACTGTTTCGTCTGTTCCACTAGAATATGTAAATAAGAGATGTTTTCAATAGGGTAATAATTTAAGCTAAGAAAAGAAAGATTGGTCTCGTCAGTGGACTTAAAGCAAATCCTCTATCTGTACCCCATACGAGCGTAAATTCTCTGATCTGGTGTGTTGCCGTTTTACAGTTGCATATTAAGCATAATTCGTGAAATTTACTGAACCGAATTCTAAGAATAAGAATTATTAAATTTTTAATTTTAAATAATTACCATTCAATATTGTCTGTATTTTCGTGAGAAACTGAAGAAAATTTGTTAAGTTTGTTCTATACTTCGAGCTAAAGTCTTCAGCAAAGTTTAGTTATTTTATATTATTCTACTGTTATTTTCCTTCGTCGCCCAGGCGACATAATAATTAGTGACGCTAACTGCCGTGCAAAAGAGCAGGGCCCGAATTCTGGAGAAGGTATGGATGTCTGAAAGCGTATAGTGTCTGTACAGCAAGGAACACTCAAATACACGTCGAGCTGAAAGTCCTCACCAAAGGTCGGTGGAAGTGGAAAAGCCGTAGGATACCCTCGAAGTGCCCTTTACCCAGGGGTATTCTCCCTTAGTAGCAGGTTGTTCCAGGGATGACAATAATGCTGTAAAGCTTATTTATGTGATTGGGTCTGTAGCCATTCCTTTCCGGGTGTTCTTCCAAAGTTGGGCCAGAAGCTCAACAGTTATCTAGGTTCAGCAGTACCTCTGTCACCAGGGATACTACAGAGGTGCTGGTCTAGCTTCTACCTCTAACTGTTGTTTTAATTCAACATTCTGAAATTGTAACAGAAACTGCAACGAATATTTGTCTATCAGGCTTGAAGGTTAGGCTAAGGTAGTTTGAGAAAATTTGAGTTTAAGCTTATTCTAAGAAATTTATTTAATAATAAGGAAAATATTTTAAAATATTCTTTACACAGGAATGAGCATTTCAATTGTTAACAATTTGCTTTTATACCTTGTCCTGAAAATTCAAAGAATTTTTCAGCACGTCTTCCCTTTCCAAGTCTCTTTGACAAAACCTGACCTTCCTTAAATATAGATTTAGTTATACATGTATGTAAAAAAAATAGTAAATTCAAATAAATCAGTTGCTAAATTACTTTCTGATAGCTGCTGCAGTTTAGCGATGATAAATTAAATAATTCTATAATTGTTTTTAAAAAATATACAGTTTTTAAACAATGAAAAGTTTGATATATATTATATAAAAGTAGATATATTTAATAATAATAATAATACATTAAAATACATTAATACAATTAATTACTATGTACACACTTTTCTTGCCTTTGATGACGCACATTTATCAATTACTTCATCAAATTCGATCATTTGAAACTTTTCTCTTTCCAAACTTGAAAATGGTAGGTCACTTAGACGATCTTGTCCCATCGTTGATATGACAAAATTAATTTTAATTTGCAGAACGAATGTTCATGGCTAGCAATTGATACCGAAATAGTTAAGAGCATTTAAAGTGCGACGCTCAATTTGGAAAAACATCTCATATGAGATTATAAAGGAAATAAGCTCTAATGGAGTTTTAGGTTCAATTTTTTTTTCTTACTGCAGAGAAACATCTGGCAGTCACACTTTCTTTATTGTAAATTTCAAACTTACTTTATTGTAAATTGCAAACAATACAGTAATAAAATTTTAATATTGTCTATCTCGTCAGTTATTTTTATTGAACACAGTTAAGGGTTTCACTCATACACTGTTGATTGAAAAATAAAACCGTCGAATAGATGTTAAAAAATAAAATGAATATCAATGATATCTATACTTACAGTTCGGCGGCCGACTTAATAATAGTTCAAGGACAAAATACTTATAATATAAGACTCCCAAGTAGCACACGACGTTGCAAAGACGTTGCAAACTGGTTCGAGAGGTTGCAAAGTGGTCGTGGTAACTTTTACGACGTCTTTATAACGTTTTCAAAGAGGCAAAATATTTGCCGTTGTATCTTGGCAATTTTTCGAAATCGCTGAAACGTCATAATATGACCGCTTTTAGACGTGGTCGTTTTAGCATTTTTTTCATAGTTCATCAGCGTTACTTTTAGAATGAAAAGAGACTAAATCTGCTCTTTCAAGAATCTGAAGTCCACATAAGATTTACTTTGCAATGTTTCATTACTTTATTTCATATAAATATACTTTTAATTTAATAATTTAAAAATACTTTTGATTTATTAAATTTAATTGGCACTAAAAATACGTGCTAAATTATTGTTTAAAATTTTGTTAAAATAATTAATATTTAAAATATTTTTATAAATATTATAGCAAAATACTTAAAAATGAAACTAATCTATAAAGTAAAATATTAAATTATGCGTTTTATATATTTAAAAAAATCATATTTCCGAAATCAATGCAAATCACATGTTAGCAATTATTTCACTATTGAAATATGACTTTATTTATTATTTTTGAAGTAAGGACGAATTTATTGGAATTAATATGGTGGCATAATATGAAACATTTTACCGCATACAGTGCAAAAAGTCAATTTTCCCGAAGATGTGATTGTGCGTTAAGATGTATTCACGGATAAAAAGTGGGGCGATTTTAAGAATTCTGAGAAAACTTCCAATGTTAAAAGACGATGCATATCCATACATATTTAACGGCTGTCCTACATATATGACGGAAAACTCACCGACAGTCAGGGGAAGCAGAACGGAAAAAGAGAAAGAAATATTAACACATTTCATGGAAAACGACAAAATTAATGAATTTGATAAATTAGTAATAAATGTTGGCATAAAAATTAGAGAAACTGTGAACAAAAATACGAAATTTATTACCTATAAAAATTCTGGTGAACTGTTTGTTATGCTTTTACGTTTCTGTCCATCTCTACGCATGCATTCAAAAATGCTTTATTTAATCCTATACGGTACTCGGGATTTGGCGATATTGACATTACAAATGTTTTAGAGAACCCGATAAATATTTTTTGTAAATATAATCTTGTGAACATTGTTCGTAATTCTATTCAGTTCAAATAATTCTTCTAGGCCATTTAAAAAAGATCCTATTAAATTATCAGAAGAACCGTCGAAAGGTTTAATGCAATCGTATAAATCGCTGAAAGTTACACTGCATTGCTCTTCAACCGATGACATTCCATGTACATTATTTATCGAATGCTTATATAAACGAAAATCTCGAGGTTTGCGTGCTTTGGCTAGCTGCCAAATTCGAAGTTGTTAACTGCGCAATTACTTGAGATTCCAGCAGTTCTTTCAAGTAATTTGGTAAAGATTCCATCTGCAAGGCATTTGAAAAGACTGACTTCATGTTTGAAATTGAATCAAGCAATGACTGATATAAATAATATTGCTTATGTTAAAAGTAAATGTAATGCACTGTCAATCAAAGAACGTACTGTGAATCTTCTCATTGTTCTGTCCTTATCTACTTACTTCAACTGCCTTCAGCGAGTGAAGTTGCATTGCTGTGAGCTCCTGTTTGAAAGCCTCTGAAATGAGGAGAAACTATCGTGAGAATACGGAATTTGTGCTTAATTTGTTTGTGAATATCTGCTCTACAAGAAGACACCAAAATTTTGGATATATCATTTAGAAAATATCGGATGCAACGTGCTACAATGCTATTCGTAAATATAGTGTTCTTTTTTGGTGTTTTATGTGTTTCCGGTGATTAAAAAGTTATATGATGCTGAACTCCAATCTTCTGTGGGTGCAATATTTGGATACCCTGATTAGCGTTGTGCTTCGGTTATAACGTCCTAAGTGCTATATCGTATATCATTCATATTAATCGATTATTGTAGTCATAGTGACAGGTTGGTTCTCAGAATTAAATTATATAAAACCAAAAATAACATACAACTTTAAGGCACTTCGTGGTTTTGCTGAAAATGCAATCAGTGCAGAAGCAATAACAATTCAAGCTGTTATGGTATGTTCATTATTTTCAAAATGCAAAGAAATTATTGGACTGGTACCAGTACTTAATATGACTGCTGAACATTAATTAGATATATGTAATAACAAGATGCAATACATTAAAATTAATAATAATGCACATTCTATAGTATGTTGTCTTTCGTATAGTATGAAGAAAAGGTTAATGATTTTAAACAGTGTATGAAATGTAGAATCGTAAAAATTGTGTTAAGGAAACATTAGCATTACTATGAAATATTGTAATCTGTAATTATATGATATTTAATTGTGTAATATTAAAAAACACTAAATGTTTTTAATTGATTGCAAATTGCATTATTACTTTTCGTTTGGTATCTATTCTTCCAAACACTGTGTAATTCGCGTTTTTTTTTTTTTTTAAATATTGCTGTTATGTATATTTATTAGATTATCTCAATAAATGAATGTTGGAAATAAGGTTTTATTTTTTATTAAATTTAAGTATATTCTATTTTCTTCGCTTACTTTTTATGTGCTTGCGATAACAAAAAGATTCATAATAAATAGGAACAAGACGTTTCGTGTGCTATTTAACCAAGAGCTTACTTTAACGTACTTAGCTTAGTATCGTATACTATATTATTTAAATTATTTCTGTACATTAACAAAAGGAAAATTATTGATTATAAAAAGTGAATAAAGTAATCATTGCAAGCTACCACTATTCTAAAATGTAGAAACTAAAAATAAGTAAATACATTTACATATGATCGAAAGAAATGGTGTTAAGAAACATCAGCATTACTAGTAAATACTGCAATCCATAATTATTGCACTTTTAATTGCTTACTATTTAAAAAACACAAATATATTTTTATTAATTGGAAATTTTAGTTCTGTTACCTTTCTTCAGCTATTTATACTTTCAAACACTACTAGTTCATGTTTTTTCTTAAATAGTGCTGTCATGTATGTTGTTTGTTAGGTTATTATTTCATTTTAGATATGAATATGAGAAGTTATTAAATTTAGGTATATTTTTGTATGAAATATTTTTGATCACATTTATTAACTACTTCATACAGTCTTTCATTTGCATATCTTGGAGATATAGAAGTGAATGGTTATACTTTTTACTATGAAACACGAATAAATTTATGCTTGATTTCAGGTAAAATACTGGTTATGTTACCTTAAGAACCGCTTCCTAATTTATCATGACAAGGATAATTTTCAATGTCTCTGAGATTTAACAGAAATAAAAGTGATAATGCTGTTATAATCAGAAACGATCTTTTTTTTTATCCACATATATATCTTTACATTTATTTATGTCTGATTAGTTTTATTTACTTAAAACCTACTTTTAATGTTATATATTTATAATAACCACTTTCATAATTACTCTCACTTACATACTAAAAGATTAAGAAAAAAATGATGAAATCTAAAATAATCGTAACTTAGAATTTTAAGTTATTTACAAAATATAGTTTAAAGTACTGAAAATAATTAAGGCTATTATTAATTATGCATATTTAGTCTAAACAGAAAAAAAAAATTGCATTATCTTCTGGTTTTCAGGAAATGATAAAATATTTAAACTTTAGAAAGATACAAGGAATACAAAATTTTAAAAAAGAAGAAAAATATATTAATTATTAAGCTTATTTTTCTGCATAAATCAATATGTAACACAAGACACATAATAACAACGTTTTCATAAATGTTGCAAAAAGGTGGAATTTTGCGAACGTATCAGGCGTCGTTAAGACGTCGTGATACGATGCTTTCACAACCAAAATATAACCTGCGAAAGACGCAATAACGACGTCTATGCGACAGAAACTTCATCTGCAAAGGTTGCAAAGGTTCATATTTGCAACGGTTGCAAAACAGTGGAGTTTCGCGGACATATGGGCGTCTTAAAGACGACATATTGTAACGTGTTTTCAACATGACTTGCGACCAGTTTGCAACGTCGTTACGACGTTGCCGTGCTACTTGGGTAGCGTATTATTTGTTATTCTTTTAAAATGACAAACATGAGCTGTACGTGCATTCCACTTAAAAAGGAAATAAATATATATCACTAGTTTAAGAAAAACAAAAGTGTTCAGAAAAAAAGAAGTGAGAATGTTTTGCAAACGGATAACTTTGATTTATTTACTGCAAGCATAATCATTTGTAACATAATTATTGTTGGTTGTGACTTATCTCACGTGTCAGACTATAACATCAGAACAAGCCCATGAAATTAATCGTGGCAAGGAGTGCAAGTTTGCGCTTTTCGTTGTCACCATACCTTGAACACCTTACAGGTGACAGTAAAACTTTGCTCAGTTCCTCCCCCAATTTTGATGGAGAGCACCCCGACGAAACGGGTCCGAAGGTCTCCCACCTCTCTTTCCCTACCACCAACATTTCAAGAGAATTTTCAGCTGGTCGCATATTTGGAATGCCTCCATGAGGCACAGACACTATGCATTTACAAACATCCATGCCTTCTCTGTTATTCGAACCCGGGCCCTTCTGTACGGCAATAAGCGTTGCTAACCACTATCCCGGTTGGGGGGCATAACATATTTTATCAGACAAATCAAGAAAGCAAATAATTCATTATCTTACAATAATTATTATTTTAAAATCTATTTCCCAGAAATCGATCAAAATAAAAATTGAAATTTTGCATGAAATCTTATTTGTCTTGAGGAACATTTGGCGCCGGGGCATGATAGACCCCCTTGCCCCCCTCGCTACGCTACTGTATACTAAATATGTTTGTGGAAAATGCATACTTAAAATACTGTTTATTTTCTAAAAGTATTTTACATGATTATTTTTTTCCAAAGGAAAAAAATTAAAACGCTAAAATGAAGTAGCTAAAAGCTGTTATTTATTTATTTATTATTCATAAATTAAACTGAAAATAATAAACTAGTTTTCAAGATTAAAGTGAAATTAGATTTGCATTCACCTCTGATAATCTGATTTAATAATGTTTTGCTATAAAAAATATGAAAAGTGTATTAATTTGAAATGTTTCTCTAGGGAATGAAGCAAAGAATGTCTGGGATATGCCATTAAGTATTGCCATGAAGTCCTGTTAGGTACATTTCTACTCTTTATCTTTCTTTCCATTAGGTAACAAAATTTTCAAATTAATTTTTTTTTTCAGTTTTGAATGTTTTTTGTTTATTATTGTTATTACTGCAATCTGATTTATCGTATTTACTTATATATTCCACCACCCCTTTTCGCTAATATTTTTATGTTACGTATTTTAAAGGACTTATTAGTTTCAATAAAATTCTTTTCACTTGAACAAAATACTTTGCTATTCTATTTGTGTATACAGCATTATATTGTTACATTAAATCAGTTATTATTATTATTGTTATCTGATTTATAGTATTTACTTACATATTCCACCCACCCCCTTTTCACTAATATTTTTATATTACGTATTTCAAAGGACTTATCAGTTTCAATCAAATTCTTTTTATTCAGACAAAATACTTTGCTATGCTATTTTTGTATACAGTATACATTGTTACATTAAATCAGAAGTTTCGTAATCATATGCTGAAAAAATTAAGGAGAAATGCACACGAAGAAGGGAAATCTGCAAGTAAGTAATGATATTACTTAATTACATTGTAATTTAAATCTGTTTCTAATATTTGTACTCGAATACAAAAATTATCAAATGTTAGCTTATTTTGTTTTGAACTGTAAAGATCATTTCCGATGAAATAGCTAAAGCCTTCGTAAGTGGTACTTTGACCTCACTTCTATTCCTTATAAGTAGTCCAACTGCAAAGAGTTTTCTTTGTTTCTGCCATTTGTAATGCAAACATGATTAGCATTTTTTAAACATATCCTTCACGAAATTATTCCGTTTTTGGTAGATTTCTTACATATTTTGCCTTAATTTAATTACCCTACTAAATAAGAATTTATTAAAGTTAATATCTTACGCTAAAATATGGTAATTGCTATTAGCTACTAAAATGTATAACTTTTTCTGACGCTGTTTTACTTAAGTTACTGCATATTTAATTTATTTCAAGTATGTATAAGCAAATGCATACACTAACAGTTACGCAGGATTACATTTTGTGTACTGCATCGCATTTACTTACATATCAAAACAGTATAAACAATCACTGCAAAAAATTGAGAGAGTGAGAAACAAACATTTATTTTTATAAAGAAGTAAACTATTTTACTTTTCTTCAAGACATTATCTCCTGATTCGAATTTTAATTTATTATCATAATATTAGTTAATTGTATGTTTTTAACTTTTCTCGATATTGCTGTGGCTTTGTACGAATTATTAATTTTTGGGGGATTTTACTTTACTGTATCTGAACACGATTTTTTAATATGCTCAATTTTAATTTTTATATATATCAATATATATTTATATTGATAGCCTTAACAATCATAAAAATCTTTATATATCAAGTTTCTGAAATGTAACGCTTCATCTAACTCTTCCCCATTTTTCATCTCGTTTGGCATCAACGAGAGCGAAGCATGGGTACAATACCCTGCCTTATTTTTTGGGAACTGACTTTATTCTTCTTTTCTTGCTTCATGCCTAAGGAAAAAATAGTTTTTTTTTTCTTACCTTCATAATGTTGATGGGCTGCTGGTGTCTGATCATTAGGAAAGAAGTCCAAGTGGCCTAGTTTGTGACATCCTCCGTGCCCTATTGAATATCATTTATGTTGTAATGAAAGGCGAATAGACACCACATATTTTGTAGTTGGAGAAAAGAAAATTCCTCAAAGGAACGGAATAAAACTGTGAACTTGATGATATTAAGGAACATACTTGTTAGTCATTTGTAAATCTGTTAGAGATAGATTCCAATAATAAAAAGTATCAAATATGTTATATTAAGGCACTGTTACTATAACAACTGTTAATATAACAAATATGTTATATTAAATTTCCTGTCGTCGAAGTTAAGAAGAATTTGAATTTTATATATGATATTATTCAAAGTTATATGTGCTGCTTAATTAACATCATTACTGAAATAAAAAAGTCATTTGTATGCTTCATAAATCTGCAGTAGAGTGTCAACTTTAGTTTTTAAATTTCTACTCTTATGATGTGCATGCAGATTGGTCCAAAAGTTCATGACAAGCTTTAAGGACTGGCCAGGCATTCAAAAACTAATCATTTTCACATCGGAGCAAACACGTAGCAGCAAGTGAAAGATTGTGGTGAATTATTATCCGCTACAATTTTAGTCAGTGCCACTACAGAACTATTAGGTAAATATTTTGGAGAAGAAAACAACTATTCCCTTGTAGGGACTCAAATTCCTAATTTTCTGATCTGCCACTCACAGTACTGAAAGCATGCAGCGGAAGCTTGAATATTCCTTGTATGTTTACTGCATAGTTTTCGAACATGAGAGGAGATCTGGGGAGGAGTACTCTTGGAAAATTTGGTTGCCTATGCATTTTTATATAAAAAAAACACTTAACTGTTTGTAGAGATATTAGTTATTTTGAAGCAGGAGACATGAAAAATCAGTAATGCCCTCACCGGGACTCGAACCACGGACGTCTCGAATTTGCCCTAAGTGTGCTGACCGCTACACCACGAAGGCATGCTAAGAAGACGGTACAAATACCTTATAAGTTCATCTGGTTACAGTTATGCATATTTCACCAGAATCATGTTAATAGAGTGATCCTTCATACATGTTGTACATGGATTTTTTTATTGATTTATTCGAATGGAATCAGTTCATCTATCAGCCTAAAATTCTGAAAACATAGCCATTTCTCTTTACTTGCAATGATGTCCAATTAGCATAGCCCTCTCAACATTTCTAGCAAAAAATGTAATATCAGAGGTTTTCTCACGTAAGGTTTTCAAAGAGGAAAAAATCAGGGAAGGATACAATGAGATCATGTGGTGACAGAAGAGTAAGTTTTTCCATCTGGTAACATCAACGCTTCAGATAACAATGATTCGTGCTATCAAACACACTTTTTGGCAATCAACTCCATTTAGCATAATCAGATTGCGTTTGTAGCCATATATTCCTATATAAAAATGGTTTGTTTTTGTATGTCCGGCCTGTCCCTAAAGTTTATATCTGAACATCTAGATGACCCTTTATACACATGTAATCACAGTCAGTGCATATAATGTACAATGAAAGGGGTGTTTTAAATGATAAAACTTGAAGACATTGTAGTTAAATTGTACAAATATGATATAGTTCTATAATTTTAACTGCACATTTTCTGATAAAATTTCTATAATTCATATTCTAATTACTTTGTGTTTCCAAAACTTAATTTGAATTTTGATGATTCCCATCCCATAATTCGAATCTTAAAAAAATTGCAAACATTAATTTCGGAATTATTAGTTAAGTCGTGGTTCATTGGATTTTTTATCAAATACTTTCCAGCAATTCCTTTTTCAACAATTTTTCTAGTTTTTCCCTTTCAAGTGGCTTAAATTTTGCTAGATGTTAGTGGTTTCTTTTTCCCTTTTAGCTGTGTATTTCGATATTTTACAGAATTCGTTTCCTTCACCTCTTATTAAAATTTATCTTTCCAATATAGACTGCCGATGTATATGTAATAAGAAACCTTTTTAATCTGACTAGTTCCCCTGAAGCATTCTGAATTTCACTTTCCTAAAACTTTTCCCAGATTTCTTATGTTTCTTTTATAGTAATATCTATTTTTCCCTTTGACATAATTTTTGTTAAATGCTACACTTCTTTGCTTCTATTGGATTTACGAGATTTTAAGTTGTTCTAACAAAAATCAGTTGCCTCTGAAAGCAAACGTCTGCTACTGAAATTGATTTTGAATGTTTATAAACCTTCTTTCATTAAAAGGAATGAATAAAAGTTTTGGTATTAAGAAGAAGATAAAAACATTCCATGCATAAAATAAAATATAAGAGATACCGGCATCATAATCCTTTAGCTCTGTATGAATAACATCAACAAAATCAGCATCCATTGGATCAAGACGGACATTCATTGGCATGTTGCAAAAGTATTTGTATGCTGGATCTAAACCTGTGAAAAAAATAAGTTGCATAATCTTAACTTTATACTGTGAACAAATAAAATTCTATTATCAACTGAAAGGGCATTTAATAACAAACTGTTTCAAAGTGATGATGCTTTGTCATGCAAAGAACTATGTATCCCTTCTCTGTGTCTTTTCATAATATGCTATGACTTAAAACTAATTGCATTTATTAACAACAAGTAAGGCCTCGATTCTCTAACCTAATAAGTGAACGCGTGAAACTCGCTACGGTATGGATTGCTTGAGAATGAGAATGAGAGAATTAAAAAGTAGAAAACACATCCAACTTTAAATTTGTCCATACATTTTTAAAACTGTTAGTAAGATTAAACAAAGATTCAGTGAAATCAAATAATAAATAAGAGAAAGAATCTGTCTGTGTGCGTGTGTGTTTTTCGTTTGTGCTGCGCGTAAGCTAATAGACTCAGGGCTACGAAATTTGGTACATAGGGGTGCGTCTAGACAAGAACCAGAGCACCTCGAAACTATTTTTTCAAAATTTCAATGAGTTTTTTTTTTTAATTTTATGTCTTTTGATGAAATCGCATTAAGCCGATAATTCTTGCTCATTATATCAGCAACAATGACCCGCAGCCATTGTTGCTGATATATCACTGTTGCCACGTGGAAAAATGAGGGCGATAATTCTGTGCAGTTTTTAAATGTAATGTTTCTCTTGGATACTAAACATTTGTGGAGAGGAGGCAACGGGAATTTGGTTAATTTGCTTATTAGGTTAATTAATATTTGTATTAAGGGATATTGCTTATTTCATTGTAATTTTTTATACATATAATACTTTTTTAATGAAATTTATGTTTTTTGTTTGTTTGTTTGTTTGTATTTTGATAAAGTTGTTCTGCAGAGTAAAATTCTGTGCAGCTTTTAAATTTAAGGTTTGGTGTTCCCTTTAGGCATTTTTCCGGTACATTTAAAAGCCAGACGGTAGCTGGCCGCGTAGCGGTTAGTATTAAATAAAGATTAAATGAAGCTGTATCAATTGCTTTATTGATTTATTTCACAACATTACTCAAACTTGCGCAATAATGAGCAGTAAAGTTAAAATAAATCATGAAATTAATCAAAAACTTCCCTGTATACATTGTTTCGGTTAAAAACATTGTTAAACAGGTTTCTCTATTTGACCTTGTAAAGATCAGCTGAATGCGTGCACGCCGTATATATTTTTTCTCTTCATCTTCTCTAATATAAGAATAGCTAACTTATCTGTTATCAGTTACATTAAAAGGTCCTGTGAAACTTTTGTTACATTAAAAGGTCCTGTGAAAATCGAACCTATTCCTGTGAAAATTTTGAAAATATAACGCTGATTTTTGTTGCTTTAACTTCTGAATAAAAAGGTATTCTATCTATTCTTCTTAAAAGGTATTCTATTGTTCCTGAAAAGTTACTCTAATGCTCCTGAAATTAAATAAATTATTTTCTAATTTTCAATCAGTATAGAGTTTTGAGGTTTCTGCAGTTTAGTTAGTTCAGTTACACTGGTTAACTAGGATTTTTAGGAGAGAGAAACGAGAAAAGCAGTTGAGTCTTCGCTGAGATTCGAACCGCGGATCTTCAAATGACTAACTTGAAGTATTAACCAGTTGTATCACAATAGCGCGTATGGGTTGAATGCCATATTTTCATACATTGTTCCCCACTTAGAGAACAAATGTGAAGATGGACTAGATTAGATTTATTAGATTACGGTATATTAGAACTACCTCCTGAAGAATAGAAATGCCTTCGAGTAAGACCTTCCTAAATTCCTAAAGGAAGCTAACTCATATTCGCTTTACACATTCATATTGTAGTTTAATAAATGGGCCTTTGTTATAAAACACACCGTTCTTAACTGAAAGTATCTATTAATTTAACGTTCCTAATGGCCTGTTCTTGGAGTTTTATGAACTAAATAATTATTGTCACCTGCAGTTAAATTAACCAAACACATAACTGCACAGCAAGCAAAAGTAAATTTATTTATATACCACTTGTGCATTACAGGATGAATAAGTGCAATAGAAAAATAATTTGATTCTAACAGGTCACGAATATTAAACATCAAGTTACTAGTCCACTGAAGTCAACCAGACTAGAATAAAGTACCAGATATTTAATTAATAAAAATTATTGACTGCTGCTTGAAAATCAGCATTTATCTTTTCAATCTAGCATTTATCTTTTCAGCGGTAAATTTCAATTAGATTCAGCAATAATGAAAGAGAAGATAAAAATTGCGAGTTTAGCGCAGATGAATCAGGAAATCAATCAAATGTTAATTATAATTTGCACGTAACTCACGCCTACATATACTCATTCTTAATATCGTCTTCGCGTCAGCGAATTTCTTCTTCGGGCATGCAAAATTAGAGCAAGCAGAACAAAGGATAATGAGAAAACTTAAAATAACTGGTTAGGAACTCGTAATAGACGTTGCGAACATTGATCCGAAAGTTGTAGTTTCAAGAAAAGGTACTATTAAATAAACATAATTAAAGGACTCAGAAAATCTCCGATTTTCATTTCGCATTCCTTTTGATGCTTAGAAAATATATCATGTATGAATGTGGAGGAAATTGCAACTATTATGCTCAACGTTCTTCACTCTTCATTTGTTCTAGTACATTGTTAGCGCAAATTACAGAGAATGATTTCTTATTAACTTATTAGTATTCAAATCAGCTGTTGGTGAGCTTCTTCGGACGTAACGTATTTCAGCTGTCAAAAATGAGATATGTTTCTTTCCAAATACCTGTTATTCTGGATACCATTGGTAGAATACTTTGTCCAGCGTAGCCTGCTACGTGAGCTCCTAACCCATTACCGATGATATGCAGCATAGATGTCGTCAAATTTCCGAATTTCTGAAATATTATCAAATATTTAATAATAGAAATTTTTAAATTTGAATAAATAAAACAGTTTTCATTATTGTTAAATTAGAGAAAATATAAGCAATGTAGAGGCAGAGGCAATTCATTTCTACGGGTCTTATAACTATTATCGATAATATCTACATGTTGTGAATTACAATATCTCAGTAAGTAAAATAATCTTAATGGAAGTTTTTTCCGTCCTTCTAAATACTTAACGGCACAGTTTCACCCTTTTGTTTCGATTCATTATAAGACAGAAGCATTAGGTTAAACGAAGAAGTACTTTAGCATTTTAGGGGCTTAAAATCTGGTTGGAATTCTTAACGGTCTCAATCCAATGCCAGAAAGGCGGGCCTTCTCAAATTCCTAACCATATATGGAGGAATTTAAGAGACTACTTTAAGTATCACTACTAATTTAAGAGACCGTAGTTTTGTATGAAAAATTCGTTGCAATATAAAAAATAAATTTACTGACTTAGACTGATAAATTTATATTTTCGAACGAAATTCTTTATTTCCAATATTCCCTTTAAGTTTTTCTGAATTTGTGAAACACTTATATATCTACATGGCGACTAGTTTTTGCGATTAGAGGCTCGTGTTGGACGAAATAGTGTTAGCTGCTAGCTTTGCAGCTGTCTCCAAGAAAGTATTGATTACATTTCTGTTAGCAAATTTGTAGAGTTATTTCAAAGCAGGAGACATGAAAAACTAAGCTATGCCCTCGCCGGGACTCGAACCTTTGACCTCTCGAATACCCGCCGAGTGTCCTAGAGTAGACATCACGAAGGCATGCTAAGAAGGCGGGAGAAATACCTTATATACACGCCCTTTTAAAGAGCGACTGGGGATTAGGTGACCCAATCCCCAAATCCTAGTGGTAAAGACCCATCATCGACCACCTTTTTTTAGTTCGGGCGCCACTGTTGAGACATTAGATTTTTTTTCTGATGCTGGAGAAGTAAAAAATGTGCAATGCCCTTGCCGGGACTCGAACCCTGGACCTCTCGAATACGCGCCGAGTGTGCTAACAGTTCAAGAACGAAAGTATTCAGAATGGAGTGAGAAAATACCTTATAAATTTTACACATAAAAGAACTATCGGTTTTTAATTTATTAAACTGATTGGCTACAGAAACCATATACAAAAAGTAAATTTTTTGTTCCACAGTACCAGTCTATTTCTCCATAATGTGTTCTTATGAAACTCTTTGCCTTATTTGAGGAATTTTGCGATACATACAGAGAATTTATAGTCATAAAAATAAAGTATATAGCCCTTTTTTGCAGAGAAATAGGCATAAATGTTTGATGCATATGAGAACATGTAAATAAGATATACATACTGCCATAATTACACAGGTGGATAAAAGCATATCGTATTTTGAAGTATGAATATGATGAAGTACTTTCGGAATAAATATTTTATAAATAATAAATTTTATACTGTTAAAATTAAAATTGCTGTTAACTGCTATTAAATTAATTGGTAAAACACAGAGATGTGCAAAGATTGTTCAAAGTTAAAGAATAAGCATTTTTGTTTAAAAAAAATTGTTATAGATTTTCATACACTTTCTTTAATAGATTCTTCTCCTTTCTCATAAAATGAAGTAATTTCTAATTTTTTTGATCAACAGATAATGAAAACCTTCCGAAAAATAAAATCTTATCGCAAATATTAAATTTAGAACGTTCGCCTTTTCCGTTATTTCTAGCAGTTATAACACAGCTCTTTTACAACAACAGCAATCATCTTAAAAGTAGAGTCTGAAATTCCACGGAAGTAAATATGATCAATGAAAGCCTTCATATGTTCAAAATATGATTAATGGAATTAAATTCGTAATATAGCAGTACTATATTCTTTATCAGTAGACGATAATTTTATCTTAATTTGCATTTATAATTTCGGTCTGTCCATATAGCGTGAAGCATGTTTACTAGAGCAGACAAATTCGAAGTTTTATCAGCGTGCATTCGATGACAAATGAGCTACAGGGAAATGTGTAACACATTCCTACTTACAATTTAGCATTAAGAGATGGTAACTTGTCTTTTACAACTAAATATTTAAATATAAAATCACCTTTAAAGCATTCACCATCCGTGCTATCTCAGCTCCTACAACTCTTGCATTAGCCACGGCTTGGATATAAGGTGCCTGGCTGCCAGCACTCCAGTCAACAATCACCACATTCGTGTCGTTGTAATTAAGGAATTCTCTCATCAAAATCTGAAAAAAAAATTATTTATTGCAATCACATTATCAAGCTTTTCATTAAATGGTCCAATAATGCTATAAATTCTTTATATAATAACAAAGGAAGCACTTTATAAACATGTGCCTTTTGTTAAGAGTTTTAAAGACACTATACTTTCTACTGCAAAAATAACTTAAAACTTATTCTTAAGACCTAGCGCCTTCCCAAAGATGTTAATATAATGTTCAGCGAGTTATTATCCGTGGTATTGTTTAACTATTCGCACTAGACAAAAAGTAAACAGAACCTTATTTGCCGTTTCTAGTGGGTGTTAAAAAACTTTAAAATATTAAGAAACTGACACGAGTATTTCTCGTGAAAATATTTCTTCAGCAAGCTGTTTATCTTTATGGACATTTAACTCCCATCTGGTTACAAAAATAGCATAAAATGAAATTTACAAACACTTGGGATCAGAATACACTATCCAATCCAATGCATATATTGCCGGTGCGTCAAGTGTAAATGTAACTTTACCGGCTCCTGACAGTTTGCCATGATGGCACCTGGCAATTGGAGGTAGCGAACTGGTGGTAAAGGAGGGACTGAAGTCTAGGGGGAAGAGTAGGTGATCATGCGTTACAGGGTTGGATAACCAGACAATCAGACCATTGGAGACAAAACTGAGTCCGAGGAGATGATAAATTCATGAAGAATAAGTCCTGATAAGTATGGTGGTGAGAACATATATAAGCATGATAATAACTGAAATAAAGTACAGTAATAATACAAACAAAAAAATGCATTCATGAGTAATATAATAAGTAACTGAAATAAATCGGTAATATAAAAGTCAAAATAAACTAAAATATAATAAAAAGATATGACGTTTGAAAATTTCAGAGGTATTTTCATGTTGTGAAAATACTTCAAGGAGAATGAAAATTCATAGTTGTAAGGATCCTAAGTTTTACTAACGTTTATTTTATTTTAAATCTTTACTATCACTTCTTATTTTCTACTTCCGGCCAGAATTAAAAGCTTTAACTTATTTATGCAAATTTGTCTTGGCGAACGCCAAGTACTTAAGTTGTGGCTTTTTGCCAAGCAAGAGAGAGGAAGGAGTTAGTTAGAAGCAGGCCGCTTGCCATTAGTAGTTTTACTCGGTTGCTGGTTGCCTTCAAGGCCAGAGGTTTAATCCTCTTGATAATTTTAAACGTATCGTAGTGTTAACAGTTCTCTGTACTACATACGGCTTTTTGTTAATATACGGCCAATCTTCCAGTAGGCACTTGTTTATTAATCCAAAGTTAGTTTAGTTAGAGTTTAGTTAATATTTTATATTTTCTTACGTTCAGACCACAAGTGGTTGGTCTCTGTATTCCGAAGTACCGGAAATCATTGTAAAGAGAGAAAAATAAAGGGTTTCGTATACCCTTCCTGTGTGTATTGTCTACTTCCCACAGTTATTGAACATAGCTTTAGTAAGCTCCCTGTTCCGAGTCAGGTCAGTTGAATGTTCCCAAAGCAAGTAAAGGAGAACATTGAACCTGATAGTGGCGCCCGAACGAAGAAGAATAACCATGGCCGAGTTTCAAGAAGAACCTTGTGCTGCCTGCAGAAGCGGCTCAGAATCCAGAAATGCCAGCTGCCGCCCTGGAAGGATTTGGTTACATCGTCCAGACCATGCGCGCATCGATGAAACCAGAAGCAACATTTAATGGAAACTCACCGGTAACCAGTTTTTTGGAAAAATTGGATGACCACTTCATGCTGTATCCCCGTGCATGAGTTCCAGAAAGTCACCTTAGCTACCAGCGCTTTGAGGGGCCAAGCGCTTAATTGGTTCAAATGTATAGGCAGAAGTCTCTTGGGTCAAGCGGGAAGTCCCACCTATACTTACGAAAATTTCAAGACTGCCTTAGTAAAAGCCTTCCCTGTCGTAAGGGATCGTGCGAAATTAGAAACGGAACTTTTCAGCATATATCAGCAAACGAATCGAAAATCTCTCAAGCTTTATTTTAAGAAAAATTCACGTCTTCAAACTCTTGTATGGAAACCGTCCGGATCCTGAGATAATTCAAGTGATTTTGCCGAGGTTACTTCCCCAAGTACAAGACTTTATTGAATTAAGGAATCCGACTACACTGGAAAAGTTATTTGAGCTAGCAATCCAGTTTGAAAGTAGAAGAACGGCGGACATTGAAAGAAGACGCCAATATCAACAACGAAACCAATTTGGTGCGCCAAGACCACAGCAAAGTCAAGCACACACGGCTACGGAAGCAAAGCGAATCAGTGGGCAAGGAAACCCGAGCATTCCAAAAACAGCCGGCGAACGTCGACAGTTCAATAGCAATCCAGGAAAAAAGTCTCAAGGCCAGTGGAAAAAGAAGGAAAGCATGGAAATGAAAAATAATTTAAACTAAAACGGATTTCTGCTGACGGGAGGGTGCGGAAATCCGAAGGCCAAGAAAACCCCTCTTCCTTCAAGTTAAATACAGTAATGGTGAAAAATTTGACTCTTCCGAAGATTGAAGTGTTGGTGAATAATATCCCAGCCACCGCACTCCTGGATACAGGCGCGCAGTGTTCCTGTGTGGCAGAAGATTTTTTTAGGAAGTATTTTCGTAAATACCGCATATATAATTCGGATAATACGACAGTGTTAGCTGCGCAGGGAGAAAGATGCAAGTGCATAGGTAAATTACCGCTATACATTCGTATCAAGGACGAACAAGTAAAGATTATGTTTTTTATAGTAAAGAATCTGCAAGCACATATTATCTTAGGGATAGATTTTCTTTCAGAGGCAGAAGCAACGCTGGATTTTAATGAAGCGTCCCTTAAGCTGACGATGAAACCAGTTCGAGAAGAAAAAACAGAACCACCAATGTTAAACCTTGACCACCTGCCTAAGGAAGAGCAACAAAAAATTCGACAAGTGGTAAGTGAATTTGCTTCGTTATTTAGTGATATTCCAGGATTTACTCAAGTTACTAACCATAGTATCGACACCGGAGATTCACTGCCAGTTCGCCACAAACCATACCGATATGATAAGAATAAAGAAAAAATTATAGAGTGGCACATTCGAGATATGTTACGTAAAAAGATCATAACGCCCATCTCAAGTAGTTATGCTAGCCCGGTTGGTGTTTATGTAAGAAAAATAATGACTATCCATAACACATCCAAAAAGGTGGCGTTTTGCAATTGACTATCGTAAATTAAACTCCATGAACTAAATATCCGGTATATCCGTTACCTATTATTGAAGAAATTCTAAGGAACATAACTTCTACCAAATATATGACGACTTTAGACTTAACGACTGGTTATTTTCAAATAGGGGTTAGACCGGAAGGACGTGCCTAAGACTGCTTTTATAACCAAGTCTGGCACTTATGCATTCCTGCGTATGCCGTTTGGCCTTTCAGGGGCACCGGCAACATTTCAGCGATGTATGGACATTGTGCTAAGGCCTGTTCTTGGAAAGTCCACATTTATCTATTTAGACGATATCATTATTACTAGTGATAATCTGGACCAACATGTACAGGATTTAAGACAGGTGTTTTCATTATTAAATGAGGCCGGTCTAAAAGTTAATGTCGAAAAGTGCAAATTTGCAGCCCCTGAATTAAAATACTTAGGTTACAAAATATCTCAGAAAGGAATCGAGACAGACGAATCAAAAATAATCGCTGTGCAAAAGTATCCGCCGCCAAATACGGCGAAGAAGCTCTCTTCTTTTCTAGGACTTTGTTCATATTATAGGTCCTTTATAAAAGATTTTGCAGCTATTGCTGAACCATTGTTAAAATTAAAAAGGAAAAAGGCAAGATTCTCGTGGACGGCCGAAGCCAATAGTGCTTTCGAAAAATTAAAGCAAGCATTAACGCAAGCCCCTGTTTTGAAATTTCCTGAAAAGGATGAGAATTTAGAAATTTCAGCGGATGCTTCGGATTATGCGGTAGGAGCGGTACTTTCGCAAAATCAGCAGCCCGTGGCATTTTTTAGTCCGAACTTTAAATCAAACACAAAGAAATTATTCCGCGACCGAGAGAGAGGCACTTGCAGTTCTGTTAGCAGTGCAAAAGTTCCGAGTCTATTTTGGAAGGGCGCCAATAACAGTGTATTCTGATCATGCGGCGGTAACTAGATTGTACTCAGGGAAAAACTTATCCCCAAGGTTAATAAGATGGGCACTCAAGTTACAAGAGTATAATCTGGTAATCAAAGCACCCCACCCCGGAAAGGAAAATATCGTAGCAGCATGATGCCCTATCCAGAATAAAAATAGATGAAGAAGGTAATACTGTAAAGGTGGCAATGCTCACAGCATGTACAATAAATTCCCGAGAAACTGTAATAACCGAACTAGGTAAGGATCCTGAATTTAAAAACATTTATGAGTATTTAAAGGATCCTGAAAATTTTAGCCACCAAGATATTGTGGCGATAAGGAATAGGGCGGCCCATTACGAACTAATAGATGGTCTATTATTTTATACAAAAACTACAAATTCCTACAACGAATTTCGACCTGTTATCCCAGCTAGTCTTAGATTAAATATCCTGCAGGAGTTACACGACAGCCCTTTAGCTTCTCATGCTGGTATTCGAAAAACCATCCAATGCGTACGCGAAGCAGTTTATTTTCCTGAACTGCAAAAGTTAACAAGGGCGTATGTCCAGTCCTGCCCAACATGTCAAGCAGTTAATTATATTAATTTCCGCCCGGCCGGGTTTCTAAATAGTATTAAATCCGAATTTCCAAATGAAATAATTGGCATCGATTTATTGGGCCCTTTCCCAAAAAGTCAGTTAAATAAAAGTCGGTATCTCCTTGTTATGGTTGATCATTTTAGTAAGTGGACCGAAATTGTTCCCTTAAAACGAGCCTCCGCGAAATTAGTTACTGATTCTATTTTAAATAAATATATTTTAAAATACGGGGCGCCCCTAAAAGTTATATCGGATAATGGTCCTCAATTTGTAAGTAATATATTTGAAGACATGTGCCAAA